AATTTTAAACAATCTTACGTTTTCTTTTGTGTTAGACAATTTTCTTTTTTCCTTTCAAAAGATTTTCTCTTTTTTTTTTGGTATTTTTGAGACAGGTCTCCCTGTAGCCCCAGCTGTCCTGGAACTCAACCATGTAGACCAGGCTGGCCTTGAACTCACAGAGATCCACCTGCCTCTGCCTCCTGAGTGCTGGGAGTAAAGGCGTGTGCCACCACACCCGGCTTCAAGATTTTCATTTTATGTATTCATTGTACATGGTACTATGAACCATTGTATATGGTACATATGAACATTTTCACACGTGTGTAATGTATGTCTGACTCTGTAACTCTTCTGCTCTCTGCTATATACTTTTTATTTATTTATCTATTTATTTATTTTTTGGTCTTTTTGAAGCAGGGTCTCCCTGTAGCCCCAGCTGTCCTGGAACTCATATGTAGACCAGGCTGGCCTTGAACTCACAGAGATCCACCTGCCTCTGCCTCCCAAGTGCTGGGACTATAGGCCTGCGCCACCACGCCTGGCAATTCTCCTATATACTTTTAGAAATATTTTATTATTTTTATTTTATATGTATGAGTGTATTGCCTGCATGTGTGTGAGTGCACCCGTGTCGTGCAATGCCGTGGAGGTCAGAAGAGAGAGACACACTGGAACTGGAGTTTTGGACAGCTGTTTGCTGCCATGTGGGTACTGGGATTTGAACCTGGGTCCTCAGCAAGAGCAGCCAGTGCTCTTAACCACTGAGCCATCTCTCAAGCTCCCACTATATACTTTTATATATTTTGTTTGCTTGTTTGGTTTAGTTTGTGGAGCAGAGTCTTGGTACACAGCTCAGGAACTGACCGCCCTGCTGCCCTTGTTTTCCAGGTGCTGATATTAAACCTGCCACTTTCTTGTGTTTTAAATTGCCATCATATATGAATTCCTAAACTGTTGTTTCTCACCCAGCTCTCCTTGAAATCTAAACTCTCATTTTCATCCTACACTGGACACCTTTACCTAGTTGTTGACCAGGCACTTGATTCTGTACATATATAATAAAAATGAAATTCATCTCTATTTTTCAAACCCTTCTCTGCTGTTTCTCTAACTGTTGCTGCTATCTGCTCTGGGGCCAGTGTTTAAAACCTAGGAGTCGTTTTTGACTCTCCTCTGGCTAATTGGCCACCAAAGTTGTTTTCCCTCTTGTTCTACCTTTTTATAGTTGCTCTCTCTGCTGTTCTATTTCAAGCCCTTGTCATTTCCTGCCTGGGCTGTTGTAGTGACCTTTAAAGAAATGCTTTTCTAATAAGAAAAAAGTTAATAATGTTAAATGTTGAAAGCATACAAAAAAAATTTAGATGAAACTATCACTTGTAATTCTGAGACATAATCACTACCAATATTTTAGTTACTTTTTTTCAAGTATATAAAAAAAAAATATTTTTTATTTTATGTGTATGTGTGTATTGCCTGCATGTAGGTAAGTGCACCCGTGTTATGCAATGCCCATGGAGGGCAGCAGAGACTGTTGGATCCCCTGGAACTGGAGTTACAGACAGTTGTTAGCTGCCATGTGGGTGCTGGGATTAGAACCCAGGTCTTCTGCAAGAATAGTCAGTGTTCTTAACCGCTGAGCCATCTCTACAGCCCCTATTATTTTTATTTTATATGTATGAGTGTATTGCCTGCATGTATGTGAGTACATTGCCTTGGAGGTCAGAAGAGGGTGTCAGATTCCCTGAAACTGGAATTAAGGATGGTTCATAGCCACATGTGGGTGCTGGGAATCGAACCTGGGTCCTCTGCAAGAGCAGTCAGTGTTCTTAAATGTTTTTAACATTTTATTTATTATTTTCATTTTTTATGTGTATGAGTGTATTGCTTGCATGTATGTGAGTGCATCCACGTTATGCAATGCTGAGGAAGTCAGAAGGGAGCTTTGGATTCCCCTGGGACCAGAGTTAAGGATGGTTTGTAGCCACCATATGCGTGTTGGGAATCAAACCCGGGGTCCTCTGCAAGAGCAGTCAGTGTTCTTAACTGCTGAGCCGTCTCTCCAGCCCCCTTCAAGTATATTTTTATATAATTGAGATAATTCTATGTACACATCCTTTTATTTTTTTGTCATTTGCCTATGTATCCCTGTTTACTCTCTTTTTTTTTTTAAAGATCCATCTCAGGGCCTTGTTTGTTCTAGGCAAGCTCTCTGCTACTGAGCTCTACAGCCTTATTTAGCTCTACAAAAAAAACTTAAATAGCACTTTTAATGGTTATAATAATAACCTGAACAGCTGGTCTTCTTGTCTGCTTTCTCATCATTTCCAATTTGCTTGCTAATCCAACAAATACTGGAGTGTCTTCTCTATACTCCATAATTTCTGAGTCATCTTTCTTCAAGTAAGATTTTCTTTCAAGCAAGATTTTTATTTAAAGCAAAGGTGTCAACTAATTTTTTTAAAATTAAGGTAAAATAGTTGGGCATGGTGGGTCACACCTGTAATACCAGCACTTGAGAGGTTGAGGCAGGAGGATTGCTGTGACTTCAAAACCAATCTTAGCTACAAAGAGCCTATTTCAAAAATCATGACAACAAAACAATTGAAGTAAAAACTTGAACACTTGTATATAGAATATAGTCTGTAATGTTTTCATCAAACACAAATTTCGTCTTCTTAATGAAAATGAAACTTCCCTGCCCTATGAGGAACTGTAATAAAAGCCTTAAGATGAATCATGTACAAGGCTGCCATGGTGGCTCATGCCTGTCATCCCACCACTCTGGAGGCTGAGGCAGGAAAATTGCTATGAGTTCAAGGGCTACAGAGTGAGAGCTTATCTCAGAAAAACAATAAATAGAGGAGAGAGAGATGGTTTGGTTCCCTGTACCTACATGGCAGCTAACAGCCATCCTTAACTCCAGTTTCAGGGGACCTGACTCCCCTCTTTCTGGCCTCCACAGGCATTGCACAGCACAGGTGTGCTTACATACATGCAAACAAAACACTCATACACATAAAATAAAAATAAATATTTAAAACAATAAATAAACACATAAACATATACAACACCTGGGTGTGGTAGTTCATATCTATGAGGTAGCTGAGGCAGGAAAGGTGCTGTGAGTTTGAGGCCAGCACGGGCTCCCTAGTCCAGATTACCCTGTGCTACAGTGCGAGACCCGCATCAAAAACAAAAAATGAACAAACAAAATCCATCTTTCCTAATAGTTGCCAAATGTTGCTTTATGTTGAACTGCTGGGGATCCAGTGATGCCTGCTTCCCATCCCAGACATTTTGATATGACTAGGTTTTGCTGTTGGACCTGGGTTTGAAGAGTTTTTAAAATGTTGCTCAAGTTATTCCAATGTGCAGCAGAATTTGTGAATCACTGCTATTATCCCCCTATATAGAGGGACCAGAGTCTTCAGACAGAAATGTTTGTGCTGTGATGTTATTCTTGCCCTGTTCCGAATTTCCTGCTCTTTTTTTTTCTCCCCCTGTCTTTTTGAGACAGGGTCTCCCTGTAGCCACAGCTGATCTATATTCACTATGGAGACCAGGCTGGCTTCGAGCTCATAGAGATCAGACTCCAGGTGTGGAATACCACACCCAGGTGTTTTTTTGTTGTGTTTTGTTTTAAACTAGCACTCTTATAATTGAAATTTGAAGCTTGAATTCCTGAATGTAAATGCAAACTTCTCAGGGCCATATCAGAATTTGGTAAGAGGTAGAACAGGTAAGAGGTAAAAACATGCCCTTGAGAAGTTTGTCTCACTTTTTTCTATGGAAGAAAATTCTTTTAGTTTCTGAATTTCTTTGGCAAAAACCTCTATTCATTTTCTTCTCTTTTTCAAAATAAAGAAATGAATTGATAACACAAGTGTTACCGCTGTACTGCTTTGTGACTTGATGAACTATTTTCTCCATAATGGATTGAATCATAAGGTCATCATGATCTGTATCTTTATAAATGGCAGAAGATGAACCAGTGCTCATTTGAATATTTGAATATGTTTAGTATTTTCAGATGAAGGGAGAAAAAGGACAGTGTTTTTAAAGTTCATTCTTTTATTTTCTGTTTGTCATTTGAAATTTTAAAAGGTTAAGGAGGTAGTAGCATTGCCCTTTGCAAGACTTAAGCTTCTTTGAATAGTAATACTTTAAATGGAACTAGTTAGCAAAGACTAATAACGGAAAAGTTCCTTTTTCTTAGTTTAGTGAAACCATGCCAGGTGTGATGGTGTACACATATAATCTCAACTCTCAAGACGCTGAGGCAAGAAGATTGCCTCTAGTTTGAGGGCAGCCTGAGCTACAGTGAGACCCTGTCCCCAAAATGAATGAATGAATAAATAAGAATAGATTACAAAAACCACATTTTGAGAACAGTGCTAATTTATGGTAATATAGTTGTTAAAACATTGAGCATGCCATCGAGATCTGTTGATGCTTTGGATTATTTTGTTAAATATCTAATTTTGAAACAAATTTGATCTCTCTTTTTGTATTCTTTTCCCTCCAGTGGCAGCATGGAACCTGCATTTCATAGAGGAGATCTTCTTTTTCTAACAAATCGAGTTGAAGATCCCATACGAGTGGGAGAAATTGTTGTTTTTAGGATAGAAGGAAGAGAGATTCCTATAGTTCATCGAGTCTTGAAGATCCATGAAAAGTATGTGCCAACTTGATCTCTCATGTTTTTTTGTTGTCGTTCTTTTTTTTTGTTCTCTTTGAGACAGGGTCTCCCTGTAGCCCCAGCTGTCCTGGATTCACTATGGAGACTAGGCTCGCTTCAAACTCACAGAGATCCACCTGCCTCTGCCTCCCTGGAGTGCTGGAATTAAAGGCATGTGCCACCACACCCGGCCAAATGTTTTGTTTTGTTTTTTTAATTTTTATTTTATGTGTATTAGTGTATTGCCTGCATGTATGTGAGTGCACCCGTGTTATGCAGTGCCGCGGAGGTCAGAAGAGGGCTTCAGAGTCCCCTGGAACTGGAGTCAAGGATGGTTCGTAGCCGCCATATGGGTGCTGGGAATCAAACCTGGGTCCTCTGGAAGAGCAGTCAGTGCCCTTAACCGCTGAGCCATCTCTTCAGCCCATCTCTCATGTTTTTAAAAAAGTTTTGCTTTAGTGTTTGAAGTGTTTACTTTGATATGTAAAAATTAAGAGAGCTTGGGGATGTAGCTCAGTCAGTAGTATGCTTGCTTAGCATACATGAAGCCCTGGATTTGATCCCCAGTGCTGACAAAATCTGGGCCTGGGGACACATGCCTATAATCATAGTCTTCAGCAGGCAGAGATAAAGAAGAGAAGTTAAGGGTTTTCCATGGTTTACATACCAAATTGGTAGCTAGCCTGAGCTACATGAGATAAAAAAAAATTATTAGCCGGGCATGGTGGCGCACACCTGTAGTCCCAAGCACTTGGGAGGCAGAGGCAGGTGGATAGCTTGTGAGTTCAAGACCAGCCTGGTCTACATAGTGAGTTCCAGGACAGCTGGGGCTACAAGGAGACCCTGCTTCAAAAAGACAAAAAAAAACAAAAAAAGATTATTAAAGAGTAAAGACCCTCTCAGCCCTTCTTCCAGTCCATTTTTATGAGTGTCTGAAGGTTTGGTGAACGTTGGTTTGGAAGCCTGAATAGTTATTAATTCATCTATTTCTCTGAAGATTTTTCTTGTTCTTTTCTACTTCCTTATCAGTTAATCTAAGTTTGTATATAACTTCCAAAAATCATGATGTAAAAACTGATCCTAAATAGAATCTCCTGATATAATTGGAATAGGGTAGACTTAGTTTCTAAAAAATATAACAAAACAAAAACTATAAGACAATCTAATAAGAATAAATAGGTCAACTTCTTTCTTTGTAGGCACTGGATTCAGACCCATTTAGCTTAGGCCCAAATTTATCAACTTTTCTCAAAGTTCAATAAATAGGGCTAGTGAGATGGAACAGGTAAAAGGCCCTTGACATCAGGCCTGATGACCTGAGTTCAGTCCCTAGAACCCATGGTGGAAGGAGAGAACCAACTCCCAGAAGCTGTCCTCTGACCTCCAAACATGCACTGTGGCAACATGCATACATAACAATAATAAAAAATGCATTTTAAAGAGTTCAAGGGACAGATGAGCTGGCTCAGTGGGTAAAGGCTCTTGCCACCAAGCCTTAGATCCCCAGTTCACACATGGTGGAATGAGAGAACTGACTCTATAAAGTTGTCTTCTGACCTCCACATGTGTACCCTGGAGTAAGCGCCCCAGAGTACACATATACACAAAATAAATTAATAAATATAATGAAATATTTTTGAAGCACAAGATAAAGTTTTCTTATTTTTAATTAGTTAATTTATTTTTATGTCTATGAGTGTTTCACCTGCATGTATGTAGGTGTACCATATGCATGCAATCCCTGTGGAAGCCAGAAGAGGGCTTTGGATCTCTTGAAACTGGAGTTAAAGACTGTTGTTAGCCACCGCATGGGTGTTAAGAATCAAGCCCACATCCTCTGCAAGAGTAGCCAGTATTCTTAAACACTAACCCATTTCTCCAACCCGAAAATTTCCCTTTTTTTTCCAAAGACAGTCTCATGTAATCAGGCTGGCCTCAAAATCACTGTATTATAGCCGAGGAGGACCTTGAACTCCTGATCTTCCTCGCTTCCACCTTCTCAGTGCTGGGATTACATGTGTGCTATTGCTCCAGGCTCAAGGTAAAATTTCTAAAATTGAAGTTATTTTTCTAAATACAGAGTCTTATATTTTTAGAACCAGAAAGGACACATATAAAAGCTTTACAATCAACTCAGAGTGACAGACAACCAAAAATTCTACTCAGGTGTCTCGTAGCCCCTTGAACTCACAAAGATCCGCCCACCTCTGCTGAGACTAAAGGCGTGCACTACCATGCCTGGCTCAGAGTCTCACTTTCTTAATATAAATATTTCAGAAAGATAAATTACAAACTCTTTTAAATATTTTTATTTATTATTTATTTTCATTTTATGTGTATGAGTGTATTGCCTGCATGTATGTGAGTGTACCCGTGTCATGTAATGCTGTGGAGGTCAGAAGAGGGCTTGGGATTCCCCTGGACTGGAGTTAAGGACGGTTTGTAGCCACCATATGGGTGCTGGGAATTGAACCTGGGTCCTCTGCAAGAACAATCAATTCTCTTAACTGCTGAGCCATCTCTCCAGCCCCATAAATTACAAGCTCTTAAGTGGATGATCCCTGTCAACCTGTGCATGCTGTATCTTTTTCTGTTCTGTGGTATTTGTAGTTAAGGAAACCTTGCCAAGAGAAGAAATGAAAGAAAAGGGCAGTGTCTTGGGGACATCAAAGGAAGTAAAGCAGCAACAGTGACTGAGGCTCTCGTATACGAGGAAGTCCTCGACTAATACTGTTGTGCTGGAGAGATGGCTCAGTGGTTAAGAGCCCTGGCTCCTCTGGCAGAAGACCCAGGTTTGATTCCCAGCATTCATATGGCAGCTAACAACCATTCATAACTCCAATTTCAGGGGATCTGTCACCATCTTCTGTCCTCTGCAGGTCCTGCATGCCACAAGTGTAACACATTCATGCACATAAAATAAGAATAAATAAATCAGGCTGGTGTGGTGGTGCATGCCTTTAATCCCAGCACTTGGGAGGCAGACGCAGGTGGATCTCTGTGAGTTCAAGATCAGCCTGGTCTACAAAGTGAGTTCCAGGCCAGCTGGGTCTGCAGGGAAGACCCTATCTCAAAAAGAACCACCCGCCCCCCCCAAAAAAAAAAGAATTAAAAAAAAAACCTGTCAACACCTTGTAGTTTTTCTCCACTGAAGAAGTACACATTGGGGATGGTGGTGCATGCCTGAATCCTAGCACCAAACAGATGGAGCCAAGAGAATGATGAGTTTCAGGCCAGCCTGGAGCCAGGAAGATGGGAATTTTTGGTGAGCCTCTTGCATGCATCACCATACCTAACTTGAGTAGGTCTTAACAGGTCTAGATAGAACTGGTCACTACTGAAGAATATTTATTCCACCATTAAGTATATTGGGTGCATTTGTTTTGCTGACAAATCAGGTCTTTGGGAATAAATAGCCCAGATCTGCTGGATTCCCTCCCTTCTCCAGAGGTTTCCAATTTCCTGTTGTTTCTCTACTGTCTGATTTTACTTTCTGCCTCTGAGGGGCAGATGTCTTTTTCCTGTTGAGTTGACTTTTCCTCCCTGATGCTCTTGATTCTCCTCTTCAGCCAGTGCCTCCTCGCACCTGTCCTCCATTACCCTTCAGGACCTTTGAGATCTTTCACTTACTGAATTGTCAGCTACAGGTTATTTGCATTTTTTTCTAACTGGAACCTCATTTTTAATGTGATATTTGCACTTAACTGTCTTTGGTGTTTGCAACACCTCCCAATTTAGTTTCATTCGCAGTTCTAGCATCTTAAGAGTCATTTTCTGAGTGGATATTACTCAGTAGAAACCTGAAGCTAATTTTCTTTTTTATAGTGTGTGATTGTTAAAGACATTTGTATTAAATTTTAGTCTGGTCTTTTTTTTTTAATTTTTTTAAATTAAATAATTTTTATTTAATGTGTATGCGTGTATTGTCTGCACCTGTGTCGTGCAATGCCTGTGGAGGTCAGAAGAGGCTGTCAGAGCCCCTGGGACTGGAGTTACAGACAGTTGTTAGCTTCCAGTGGGTGCTGGGATTTGAACCCGGGTCTTCTGCAAGAACAGCCAGTGTTCTTAACCACTGAGCCATCTCTCCGAACCCAGTCTGGTCTTTATTAACTGCAAAATTTGCTTTGTTTTTAATTAAAATTTCAAATTACTACGGTCTTAAGGTTCTTTACTAGCCTTAAATTAACTTAGTGTGTGTGAGACAGGGCATCATGTAGCCTAGTCTGGTGATTCTCCTGCTTCTATGTCCCAAGTGCTGGGATTATAGGTATATGCTGCCTTGTTAGTTTATGCAATGCTGAGATCATATCCAGGGCCTTGTACAAGCTAGGCAAGCACCTGAAGAATTGGCTTTTTTTTTCTTTTAGAACTTCTTTTCGTAGGTAGGCCAGGGCTGGTGGCCTTGAATCCCAGCACTCAGGAGTCAGAGGCAGGTGGATCTCTGGGTTCAGACCAGTCTGGTCGGCATTGTGAGTTCTAGTACAGTCAGGGTTACATAGTGAGACCTGCTCTCAACCCCATACCCCAAAATGCCATAGGTAGCCACTATTTATCTCTTAAACTATATTATTTTAGGTCTTGTTTATGTCTTTCTTTTTTCCTTTATATTTTACATTTAAAGATTCTCTGGTATGCACAGAGGATCTATCATCCAACAGATTAACACTTGCTGTTTCTGTGCACCTATATTCTCAATTCTTCCTCGTATTATTTTGAATTAGATCTTAGACATCATGCTATGTGTATATTTCAGTAAATGTCTATGAAGCATAATTAAGCTTTTATAATTTACCACTATAATTGACATGATTACAATATAAAAAGAACAATTCCTTAATATCACTAAATTTCCAATAAGTTCAACTTAACAATTTCATAACTTTTAAAATTGTCTGAACCTAGATCCAAGTAAGACTTTGCTACTGTTGGTTGGTGTGGCTTTATAGAGGCACTAAAAAATGTTTTGTTTTGTTTTTTCCCCTAGCGAGGCGCATTGGCATACACCTTTAATCCCAGCACTTGGGAGGCAGAGGCTGGTGGATCTCTATGAGTTCAAGGCCAGCCTGGTCTACATAGTGAGTTCCAGGCCCCTGGGGCTACAGGGAGACCCTGTCTCAAAAAGACCAAAAAAAAAGAGAAGTTTTTTTCAATTACACTTATTTACTAGGATGCAGGGCATCATTGCCTGCCTGTGGAGGTCAGAGGACAACTTGTAAAAGTTGGTTCACTTCTTTTTATTTATTTATTTTTTTTGGTATTTTTGAGACAGGGTCTCTTTGTAGCCCCAGCTGACCTGGAACTCACTATGTAGGCTGGTCTCGAACTCACAGGGATCTGCCTGCCTCTGCCTCCTCCTGAGTGCTGGGATTAAAGTCATCACCACCATGCCTGGCTTGGTTCTCTTTTACCATGTCATTTCCAGGGACTGAACTGAGATTGTTAGACTTGGTGGCAAGTGCCTTTACCTACTGAGCCATTGCACTGGCCTCACATTATATGCTTAACTTCATCTAGAAGTTCTTTCTCCAGGATTCTTTGTTCAGTGTAATTTGTTGCTTAAATCCTATGGTTTTCCATAGTATTTACTTTGCCAGTTATATCTTAAGTGGTAATTTTTGTTATTGTTTTGATTTTGGTATTTTCTTGTTTTTTCTTTTTTTGTTTTTTTGGAGACAAACTCTGGCTGGCCTGGAACTCCAGTTTGTAGACTAGGCTGACTTTGAACCCAGAGAGATCTGTTTGCCTCTACCTCCCAAGTGCTAGGATTAAAGGTGTATGCTACCATACCCAATCTGAGGGGTAATTTAATGTGGGTTTGTTTTTTTGTCTTTTATATTTCCAGAAAATTGGTTTATATATTTTAATATAAAAATGGGGTTATACTATACATGCTATTTTGTAATCTTTTCTTAGTAAAATTTGTATGGTCTTGTACTAATATTAAATACTCTTTTTTGGTGTTAATGCTTGCATAGTATTTCAGTTCCTTAATGTTAAACTTTTAGCTTATTTTTAACTTACATGCTAAACAGTACAGCTATAAGCATTCTTTTACCTGATTAAAGAATTAAAACTAGGTATGATTAACTACTTAAGTGCCATGAACTTGTTCAATAATAAGGACTAATTCTGTGTTTTCAAATGCCATGAGATTTGATGACCTGAATTTCCCTTACTCTTTTAAGGCAAAATGGGCATATCAAATTTTTGACCAAAGGAGATAATAATGCTGTTGATGACCGAGGCCTCTATAAACAAGGACAACATTGGCTAGAGAAGAAAGATGTTGTGGGGAGAGCCAGGGGGTAAGTACAGGGGGGAACATCATGGCTTTTTGTGTCATTGTAAACATGACCTTGTTATCTGAAGCTGTGCAACTGAGTGCATAATAGTTTGGTCCCAATACCAGTTAAGTCACCTTTTTGTCTTGAAAAACACACATCTTAAAATGCATGTAAGTCTATAGGTATTCTACTCCTGAGAGGAGGAATGGGTATAATAAGAGAGTAGATACTAGTGATAAGATAGTGCATTAGATGGCACAATTAAATAAAAATTTTGCTGCCGGGCGTGGTGGCGCACACCTTTAGTCCCAGCACTCGGGAAGCAGAGGCAGGCGGATCTCTGTGAGTTCAAGGCCAGCCTGGTCTACATAGTGAGTTCCAGGACAGCTGGGGCTACAGGGAGACCCTTTCTCAAAAAAGACCAAAAAAAAAAAAATTTTTTTTTTTGTTAGCCAAATGTGGTAACACAAACCTGCAATCGCAGTACTTTGGAGATGGAGGCAGGAGGATCAGGAGTTCAAGGCTAGCCTCACTACAAAGTTGTGAGTTTGAGACTAGCCAGGGATACTTGAGACCCTGTCTCTAAAAACAAAAATCATTTATTTATTCAGTTCATTCAAGGAGTATTGATGTCCATATTGGGCTAGGCCATTGGAGTACAAAGTAATATTAATCCTGCTCCATGAAACCTAATTTCTTAGGAATTTACTGAGACAGCAGCTTAATTTGTTTGTCTAAATTAGTTATATTGTATTAATTTATCCCATATTGTTTTATTTCTAGTCTTGATGGGGTCAAATTAATTTTAAAATTTTATTAAGCCTGTTTATTTCAGATATCAGGAGAACAGATCAGTGGAGGACAGTAATTGTAAGTTATTTATGTAAAGAAGTATTAAATTACTGCCTTAATGTATTAATAGTATTAACAGTAACTCACCTTCATTAGGGCTTATGTATACCAGACACTCATTGTATGTGCTTTATAAGTATTGCTTCATTTAACCTCAGAACAACCCTAATATTCCCATTCTACAGATGAAGAAACAGATAAATAGTGTTACTTTTATCTGAGATCACACTGATGGCTGGACACTCCAGAGCCCCCTCTCTTAACCATCACAGCAGAATACCAGTACAGCATTTCTCAGATGGTGCTTGCTGGCTCTTGCCCCTCAGGTGCTTCATAGCATTCTTGCTACTGTATGAACCTCTGGTCTTTCTCACTAAAATAAATCAGCTATGTATAGGAAACTGCACCAGGAAACTATGCTGTACAGAAGGAAGTGGAAGTTTCTGAGTGGAAATTGCCTCAGGTGTAGCATCAGAGATTCCAAAAAGATTGGATTAGAACTAGTATCCTTGTGTCTTGTTTTGTCTGCTGCAGAGCAGGGGCGTGCGTGTGTGTGTGTGTGTGTGTGTGTGTGTGTGTGTATGTAAGACCTTACTTTAGGGGAACTTTTATTTCCTATGTTAGAGCTAAATATATTCCATGTTAGGTCTTCGGTGCCCCCTGAAGAATTTTTTGAAAATTCTAAACTATGGGGCTGGAGAGATGGCTCCATACTTAAGAACACCGATTGTTCTTGCAGAAGACCCAGTTTGAATCCCAGCACCCACATTTTAAAGTATAATGTAATTTCTAAAATCCCACCCTTGAAAATATAAAGCTTTTTAATGGTTTTTATTAAAAAATGTAATAACCTGGTATTATGAATTAACAGTTCTATGAAGCATAAAACATCTGGGATATGAGCAGCAGGAAGGCAGAATGTTAGCTGTCCAAATTTACTTTCTACCAGTTGTACTACCACTTAATGTCCACACACAATGGAACAGCACCTTCTTTTGTGGAAATTGTATTTATAAAATACTAAGCTGATATTTCAAAGTCAGGCTGCACCTTAATCTGAGGATAGAGATTCTCTGCAGGCAAGTCTGTGATGGTGGTACAAATTTCTTCAGGCACTTAAGAAATATTTTTTTGTTTTTTTGTTTTCTGTTTTTTTTTTTGTCTTTTTGAGACAGGGTTTCCTTGTAGCCCCAGCTATCCTGGAACTTACTATGTAGACCAGGCTGACCTTGAACTCAAAAAGATCCGCCTGCCTCTGCTTCCTAAGTGCTGGGATTAAAGGCGTGTGCCACCACGCCTGGCTTTAAGGTACACACTTTAAGATGTATTTAGTATATTCATGAGGTTATGCAGCCATCACTACTATCTAATTGTAGAACATTTCTATCAACCCCAAAATAATCCTCCAAACTCATTAGCAGTCACTCCCCATCCCCTTCTTGTAGCCCCTGACAACCACTAATCTGCTGTCTGTGGATTGGCCTGCTCTGGATGTCTCATGTAAACACAATCATAGTTTGTGGTCATCTGTGTTTGGCTTCTTTAATCTATCCTAATTTTCAAGGTTCATTTATCTTGTAGTGTATAATAAAAAATTCAGAAAATGTAACTACCACTGGTCCAATTAAATATTTAATAGAGGTGATTCTTCTGGAAATCAGGAAGTTGAAAAACAGAGGACATATTAGTTACAGAGCAGGGAACAGTTGGAGAAAAGGAAGAGAGGCTGGTAGAACACAGGACAGAAATGTTGCAGTGAGAATATGAACTTGAATAGAGAAGTTAAAAGCTTCCAGACAGATACCTAAGAGGAAACAGGTGTTCTCAGCTGAGTGAAGTACACCAAAGACAAAATGCCTGCTCTTGATGGTGGAGACAAATAGAAGCTAATCACCTTGATTTGCTTAGTACATATTGTATTATACACATGTTGAAATACTACATGGTATCCTGTTAAAAAGTGCAAGAATTACATGTAAATAAAAAACAAAACCTATGTCTGGCACAGTAGCACATGTGTATAATCCCAGCCACCTTGAGAGGCTATGACAGGAAGATGAAGTGAATCTGGCTGGGCAATATAGTGAGGTTAGAAAAAGTAAATACATAAGGAAATTATAGAATGGTGTGAAATCTCTCTTGTCTGAAATCCGTTTTATGACTATGCCCTTTTTTTTTACTTTTTACCTTTTTTTTGTTGTTGTTGTCTTTTTGAGAGAGGGTCTCCTTATAGCCCCAGCTGGCCTGGAACTCACTTTGTAGACCAGGTGGGCCTTGAACTCACTGAGATCCACCTGCTTCTGCCTCCCCAGAGCTGGGATAACAGTGTGCACCACCATGCCAGGTGACTATGACTTTTAAAATGCACTTTTTATGAGCTAGGCTTGGTGGTGCATGCTTATAATCCCAGCATACAGGAGGTGGAGACAGGAGGATCAGTAATTCAAGTCTTGTTTAGGTTATCTGAGATCTCACTCAAAAAAAGTGGGGACTTGGAGTGGTGGTATATGCCTTTAATCCCAGTACTTGCCTTTATTAGGAAGCAGGGGAAGGCTGATACCTGTGAGATTGAGTTGTGGTTCATGCCTTTATCCTAGCACTAGGGAGGCAGAGGCAGGCTGATCTCTGTCAGATTGAGGTCAGCCTGCTTTACAAAGAGAGTTCTAGGCTAGCAGGGGCTACGGGGAAACCCTGTCTCAAACAAAAAAAAACCCACCAGCCAGCGGGCGGGGGGTCGGGGGGCGGTGTGACTGGTTTAGCAGTTAAGAGCCATTGGCTGCGGAGGACTGAGGGGTTCAGTTCCCAGCACCCACATGGTGACCAACAACCATCTGTAACTCCAGTTCTAGGGGATCCAATACCCTCTTTCTGGCCTCCTTGGGCATTGCATGCATGTGATGCACTTACAGATAGATATACAGCCAAAACACCCATACTCACAAAATATATACATATATAAATACACATATACATACATACATACATAAAACTATTAATGTGCTGGGCATGGTGGCACACACCTTTAACCCCAGCACTTGGGAGGCAGAGGCAGAGGTAGAGGCAGGTGGATCTCTGTGAGTTCAAGGCCAGCCTGGTTTACGTAGTGAGTTCCAGGACAGCTGGGGCTACAAGGAGACCCTGTCTCAAAAAGACTAAAAAAAAAAAAAAAAAAAGCTGTTAGTGTTCTTTTTACTTATCTTGAAGGAAGTCATTTTAGAAAACAAACTGTAATTTTGTGTCATTACATAGATTTTCATTATGTTAGCTTTTGAGGGCCAAACTATTTAAAAAAAAATTTTTTTTTAATGTGTATGAGTGAGTGTTTTGGCTGCCATGTATGTGCAGTGCCCATGGATGTCAGCTGAGAACATTGGATCTTTTGGAACTGGAGTTGTGGACGGTTGTTAGCTGCCATGTGGGTGCTAGGAATTAAAACTGGGTCCTCTGCAAGAGCAGTCACTGTTCTTAATGCTAAACTATCTCTCCAGCCCTCTAGACATTTTTGAAAAATATATTTTTGTGGGTATGTATGTGTGGGCATGGGTGTGCCACAGTGGCGTGTGGAAGTCAGAGTTCTCGAGAACTCTTGGGAGTTGGTTCTCTCCTTTTACCATTGTGGGATCCAGGGATTGAACTCAGTTTGTTAGGTTTGGGAGGCAAGTGCCTTTACCCAATGAGCCATCTCTCCAACCTTGCACTTCTTAAATTAAAGATCCCCTTTGACAAATAGTACTGGAATCTACTCCTAATTTTTTAGCAAAATTTCTTTATTGCTTGGTCTTTTGGCTAATCTCTAATCATTGTCTCTTTAAATATCCATAGGTAGTGCTATTTCCTTAGTAGTACCTCTTTTCCCTCTCTTTTTTTGTAAGACAGTGTCTCTCTCACTTTGTACCCTCAGCTGGCCTTGAACTTGAAACCCTCCCTTAGCCTCCCTCATAGCTGAGATTACTAGATGGTGGTGCTACACTGGTCTTAACAGTAGTTTTTTGATCCCAAGAACTCTGGGAACCATGTTTGGCCATGCTCTGTCTTCTAGATAGATACTAACTGGGCATCAGATAGAGTTAAGAGATAGCTTTGTGAGTGACATTTATTTTACTTACTTTAAAACTTATTCTGCTTATTAGGAATTTTGCTTTAATACACACATTTATCTGAGTAAAATTAGGGGGAAATACTGTGGATTTGAATTTAAAACGACTAATGATCACATTACACTCTTGAGTATTAACTCTGCTGTCTGTCCACAGAAGGAAGTGGTACAAATAATTATGTCTTTGGTTTGACTTTGAACTACTGCCTCATGGCTTGGTAGCCTCATATTTTGCTTATTTTACTCCTAAAGATATAAGCCTCTTTCATCTATAGTAGGCAGTGAACATCAGTCTCAGATAAATGCTTCCATGGATTGGTTATGAGTAGCCATGTCATGTGGTTGTGGCAGCCAAGGGTTGTGTTTCTTTGCATGTAGAAACCATTAAATGGAGGTCACAAAGTCTCCACTTGTGAGATTGGTTTCATACTGATCATTGGACCAGATTATCAGCTTGGTGGTGGTGGTGTTGTTTTTAATATTGTTACTGATTTGAGAATTTCATACAATGTATTTTGATCATGGTCAGATTGCCCCCCCCCCCCCCAAATCTTACCATCCCTCACACTTCGTGTCTTCTATTATTGTCTTATTATCTTTTTTAAGACCTAGAAAACAGATTCTTTCATCACTCTTCATCTGCGTTTTATTGAGTAATTTGCCATTATGTCACTGAAACTGCCTGCTTTTAGGAAGTGTATAAAATGACAAATGAGTTGGTGAGATGGCTCAACCAGTAAAGGTGCTTGCCGCTATGCCTGGCAGAGCCTGACCACCCAAACCCACACTGTGCTCCTGCAAGTTGCCTCCACATGTATGCTGATACATGTGTGCATACACATACACATGCAAAAAATAAATCATAAAAGTTTTTATGCTAAAGATAGCATAAAAGATAGGTATATATAAATTGAAAACTTAGAAAACCGCTGTTCTTCCTCCTAGAACTTAGCAGTGATTTTTTTTTTTAATGTGTATGAGTATATTGCCTACATGTGTGTGAGTGCACCCATTTTGTACAATGCCGCGGAGGTCAGAAGAGGGCTTTGGAGTCCCCTGGAACTGTAGTTAAGGATGGTTCGTAGCCGTCATGTGGGTGCTGGGAATCAAACCTGGGTCCTCTGTAAAAGCAGTCAGTGTTCTTAACCGCTGAGCCATCTCTCCAGCCCCTGATTTTTTTTTTTAATAGGAAAACTTTCTTTAGTAACAAACTACAACATAACTGTAGTTGTTGGTTAGGTTCCATTAATTGTTTTTAATTCTCTTAGACTTTTTCTCCTGGTCTTCTGTTATGTTCTCTGCAAGTTGCTTCTTCAACCCCTTCATTCTCCTAGTTTGTAGTTTGCTTAGGTCTTGCTTCTGCATATGAATCTTTCCGAAAGTTGTACCAAAAGTATCCCAAGACATATTCTTCCTTTTCTTTGGCTTGAGAGTTTTGGACATTTTCATAGATAATTTATAAAGTTCATCTGATGCTGGGTATGTCCTCCCGAGAACCAGATCCAACGAAGGTCCCATCTCTTCCAGTTCAGTTCATGGAGTTCTACCATCAGATTTCTTCAGCAGCAACTTATAGCTTTAAAAGTAAACCTTCCCATTCAAAAACATACTCTAATTCAGCCAGTTGGACATTTGATACTGTGGGGTCTCTGAAGAAATCAATCAGAAGATTTTTTTTTTTCCCGTCTTCTGTAGTCTTCTGTTACATCAAAGTCATCACCAACAAATTTTAACAAGGGTTTTGCTTCTTCAGGGCATTTACTATTCTTAATATCTTAGAAATACAAATTTCTCAGTACTAATTCAATCATATCTAGCACATGGTAGTCATACATACGACTACTACCAGATTATTTGGCTGCTTCTTTGTTTTTTTTTTTTTGAGACAAGGTCTCTGTAGTCCCAGCTGGCCTGGAACTTACAATGTAGACCAGGATGGCCTTGAACTCACAGAGATCTGCCTGCCTCTGCCTCCCGAGTGCTGGGCTTAAAGACATGCACCACCACAGTCAGCATGGCTACTTCTTATTATAGGAACCAAACATGAGTAAAGAACAATCTGACTTCTTTGAAAAGAACTCCAGTGATGTCTGATCCTCAAATGGTCTTGTAATATTTTTCTTTTTATGTAGAACTCCATATGGTTTCTTTAGTGCATACACATCTCTGAATACTTGTGTTATAGTTCATTTGCATTTCCCCCTTTAGTCAGCATGGCATTTTTAATGTTTTCACTGAGTTTGGGTTCTCTCTTCTCAAGGAATTTCTTGGCCCTTTTTGTTTGGAGATTGAGGACACAATGCAGAGCATCCATCACTACAGATGTGATTTTGTAGGTGTCACTTTTCAGTTCTTGGAGAACCTATGAGTTAAGACTGATCCTAATGGGGAATTATTTGCCACCATGTACCTGGGCCATGCACCCCAGACTAGATCTAGACTTGCATATTTAAGATCATTATTTAGGGTGCATCTTTCTGGTATTTCTTTACCCAGAAAATATGGGGAAGATAAAAGAATGTAAGTGGTGATTTTTGTGTTATGTTTTTTTGTTTTGGTTTGTTTTGGTTTGAGTTATTTTCATCTTTTTGAGATAGGTTCTCCCTGTTCCCTCAGTTGGCCTGGAATTAGCTATGTAGATCAGGCTGGCCTTGAACTCACAGAGATTCACCTGCTTCTGCCTCCCAAGTGCTGGGACTAAAGTCTTGCACCACCATGTCCGGCTTTGTTTTGTTTTGTTTTTAAGACAGAATCTCATGTAGCCCAGGCTATCCTCAAGCTCTCTATTATAGTCAAGAGGGACCTGCTCCTCCTGTCTCCACCTCCCAAGTACTGGGATTATAGGTGAGCACCACCACACCTGGTTTCTGAGGTGCTGGAGATCAAATCCAGAGCTTTTTGTACCAAAGTACTCTACCAGCTGAGCTACATTGCCAGCTCCAAAAATGTGTATTTTTGTTTTTTGGTCCTTTTGAGATAGGGTCTCCCTGTAGCTCCAGCTGGTCTTGTACTCACTATGCAGACCAGACTGGCCTTGATTGCACAGAGATCCCCCTGCCTCTGTGGAGGACTAAAGGTGCACCACCATGCCCAGCTCAAGAATGTGTGTTTTAACCCAAGTGATTTTGTTAAAGAAAGTGTAGGTGTTAAGAAACATTAACATGGAAAGAGAATTTGAAGTAAGGATGGAGAGATAGTTCTAGATAACCCTGCTAGAGGGGAGAGAAACAGAAGAGGACAGAAGATGGAAAGTAAGGAGAGTTCTTAACAGGAAGTGAAGTACACTAAAGATAAAGTATGTTGTTGACATTTGCCTCAGGCTTTGATGGTGGAGGTGTTATGTGGGAGGTGATTTTTTAATCTTCTGCCTTTTGCTTGGCATGAAGGTACAAAGGTTGTGGATGCCAGAGTGAATGTATCAAGTGTTCAAAGGTTAGTCCAACCTCCCTTCTTTTTGACAAACTCTAGTTTGCCACAGTATGGCTGATCCACTTTGGAGTACAGCAGTAGAGGACGAAATAGAAAAAGTTGCTAATTTACATTGCTAACCACTTTTTCATCCCACATCTGTGTTAGCCTGATAATTTTCTTGTTCTGCCCTGAATTCTTATGACATTGAGTCATCTTTTGCATAGAGGGAAGATTTCAAGACAGGAAAAAAAAAGATAATTTCTTTTTTTTTGGTCTTTTTGAGACAGGGTCTCTCTGCTGTAGCCCCAGCTGTCCTGGAACTCACTATGTAGACCAGGCTGGCCTTGAACTCACAGAGATCTGCCTGCCTCTGCCTCCCAACTGCTGGGACTACAGGCGTGCACCACCACGCCTGGCAGATTTAATTTTTTAAAATAGTTTATTTATTTTATGTGTGTGAGTGTATTGCCTGCATGTATGTGAGTGCACCAATGTTGTATCAGGAAGTATTGGACTGAGGATATGAGTTAGGAGTACCCCAAAACGGAATGTGTGTGTGTTTGTGTGTGGGTGTACATTTACTTGAAGCCTGTTATGTGCAAGGCCCTTTGTTGGCCTTGAGGATACAGGAAAGCAAGCATGGCATTGCTGCCCTCATAGCCTCTAAAAGTGCCATATAACTAATAATACAACCAATTCAACCAATTAATTAAAATTGTGAGAAAGACCTTCTGCATAGAGGGAAGAAATACAAAGAAATACAAGTGCTAAAAGTTTTGCGTAGCTTGAGGGGACAAACTTTAGTGACAAGAGGAAAAAGAGAGCTAGTGAAAACACAGGGTTGAGTAGATAGATGGTTCAGTGGTTAAAACACTTATCGTGCTCAGAACCCATGCAAATGCTGGGTGGGCATGGGTGCCTACTTGTAATTCCAGCCTCAGAAAGCAGAGATGAGATCCTCAGAGCAAGTTGGCTAACAGGTCTAGGCACATCATCAAGACTCTGGGTTTGATTAAGAGACCCTGCATCAGTGGATAAGGGGAAGAGTGATGGAAGATGATTCTTGACATGAACCTGGAGCCTCCATACGCACACCTACCCACACATGTGTACCCATACACAAGCAAAACATGCGTGCACATATAAAATTAGAAAGTTTTAAAAACACAAAAATGTGTCAGTCATAGAGGTAGGTAGGGGAAATACTTGTGTGTTATAGAAACTGAAGAGAAAGGATTTCTAAAGCAAGTTTGTGCCCATCAAAGTCAAACACTGCAGAGATGCACAGGAAGATGGATCCTAAGATTTGTTTGCTGTAGTTGGTGATTTTTTTCTAAGCTGGGTGTGGTATCACATATCTTTAATCCCAGCACTCGAGAGGCAGAAGCAGGCAGATCCCTGTGAGATTGGGGTCAGCTTGGTCTGCACAGTGAGTTCCAGGCCAGCTCTGATTACAGGGAGACCCTGTCTCAAAAAGACCCCCCCCCTCCAAAAAAAAAAAAACCTAACAATGTTCTCGAAAAGTTTCAGAGCTGGACATAGTTGCACATGCCTGTCACCCCAGCATTTGACCCCAACATTTAGGAGACTAAGGCATGAGGAAGTGAGCTCAAGGCTAACCTGATAACATTTTAAGACATCTTTAAAAAAAAAATCAAGCTTAAAAGGGCCAAGCCCAGATTGCAGGTGGTTCAACATGAGAGAGGAGTCTTGAGTACTATAACAGAGCTCTTACGCTTACTTTTTGGCCACTTAACATGAAGTACCTTGTAATGTGGTGTCTGTGTTTGCCTTATCTCCCCAACAAGATTGGCAGCTTCCTAAAGATTGAGTCCATACCCAGCCTCTAGCACTGCATCAGTATGTGCATCAGAGACAACTAGAATGTAAGACCTCTGGTCTGGTACTCTTCTGCTACACAGAAGCCATACACCTTGGGTGTGATCATCTGTTTCCTCATCTATAAAATGGTGAAACTCCTAACTTCCTTGTAACAGGCTGATGGAAAGGAGCAAATATAATGTATACAAGTGAACTGAAAATTAATACTCCATGGAAGATACTGGTAATATTCAGTAGATAGTAGCAGCTGCTTTACTTGGGATATTTTTCTTTACTATGACCAGTTGTTTGTTTACTTGTTTGTTTTAGATTTGTTCCTTATATTGGAATTGTGACAATCCTCATGAATGACTATCCTAAATTTAAGGTGAGAATTCCTAATGTATGTCTCATTAAAAATGACATGATTTGGGCTAGAGAGATGACTTAGGGGTTAGAAGCACTGGCTACTCTTGCAGAGTACCTGGGTTCAGTTCCTAGCACTTACATGGCAGTTAACAACCATCCAAAATTCCAGTTTCAGGGGATCTTACGCCCTCTTCTGACCTCTGTGGCCATTGCATGACATGGGTACACTTATATACGTGCAGGCAATACACTCATGCACATAAGAAATAAAAATAATAAACTGTTTTTTAAATGACATGATCTTGGGCTGAGGGTATAGTTCAGGATTAGAACACATGCCTAGCACATAAGAGATCCTGGATTCAATCTGTCTCCTGGTCACAAAAGCAAGGTTATTAGCTCTGAAGACAGGAATTTGTAAAAGCTGCTCTGACTCATCATCTGTGTTTTTTTACCTTCTAGTATGCAGTACTGTTTTTGCTGGGTTTATTTGTGCTGGTCCATCGTGAGTAAGATGTCTGCCTCGCTGTTCCTGGGAAGATGCTGTGCTTTTTGTTACTGAATGTCTGGAGTAGATCCTGGTCTGTGATTGGCGGAATGGAGGACACACATGTTGGAGCGTCTTGGTAGCACTGGTTTGCATTAGTTTTGTTTCCACACCGAGTCTGTGTGGGCGGGTGCATGTGTACCATGGAGTGCACTCAAGGGGACTTTCAATCACAGGATTTCATATGTTGTCATTGTCACTCTTTCACATTTTTGTACATCAGTGAATTTTTTATATTAAAAGGTTGAGCCAAAGCCCCCAGTGTTTGTATTTTGAAGCCAAGCTTCACTTCTAAAGTGCCTATAGAGTTCTGTAAATGAAAATGCAGCTCTGCATGAGTTTAAAGGTGTCATTCCTCCTTCAAATTGGAATGGCACATATTAAGGAGGTCATAGTCTTAACTTTTCAAAATTTTAAATAAAAGACTTTGCACATTGAACCCCTTATCCCTGAATTGTGTTTGTTGAGAAAGCTCCCAAAATTTGCCTTCCTTGACTGGTTCTTGGTACCCATTATGGTTTATAAAGGCTCTGATATGGCTGAGTTTGGTGATATATGCCTGTTACTCCAGTACTTGGGAGCCAGAGGCAGGAGGATCAGGAATAAAGGTCATCATCCTCAGCTATGTAGTGATCGTGGGCTATGAGATCTTTTTTCAAGAAACTAGAAAGGAAAAAAGGCCTTAATGTGAACAGTACTTCAGCTATGAAGGTTATCCTAATACTAATGATTGGCTTTTGTTTGTTTCTGTGAAGTCAAAGTAGCCATTGACATTCATAGGAAAATCTCTTAGTCATACAATTGATTCTTCACTAGGGTGTGACTCAGATGTGTGTAAACTCAGCTAGTGTTGCTGAGAGGTTCAGAAAAATCTCTTCTTGTCTTTAACTCTAATTTGCCTGAATTTATTCTTTTAAGTGCCTAGCTTTGCATTTTCTCTAATGCAGATTTAAGGAAGCAGAGTTTGAAATAATAACTACAAAGCCCAGTTGTGTTTTCTTTTAATATGGGGCCCACAAGGGAAATAGGGAATGTAGGGCACACCAGTATATAATAACGCAAAATACTCCTAATTCTGTTGTTTAATGTGAAATCTTAAAGTAAGCAAGTTTACTGTTCGGGGCATGTAGTCAGATTCTGTTATTTGTTCAGCTGAGGTGACAGTCAATTCTGTTAATGGAATGGGAATAGACATGCTTCCAAAGCCTTCCCTGTAGAGAATACTGCCATCTAAATCCATTAACCAGGCCTTGGCCTTCAAGCTTTGGATATGAGCACTTAATGGTCTCAGCTCTAACAGACGTTTTTTTTTCAGCCTGTCTGTGAGGCTTATTTACATTGTCTCATAATCCTGGAGGGTGCTGAAATAGGCCCCTGTGTGGCATGGCAGAATCTTACTGCTTCATTTCTTTCAGTCATCTATGAGGGCAGAATTGGCACTCAGCCTGATTGGTGCCCTGACTCTGCTTTTGTATCACCCTCCTAGGATACTTGGGGGAACAGTTGTGTGCTTTGCTGGCCAGAGTTGGATCCCTGGGCTTTCTGTGACCATAGCTTGCCTGACTGAGCATCCTTGCACTTGGATCTTCATCTGTAGTTTTCTCCTCCTTGTACACTTACTGGGAGGAAAATAATATTTTCTTGCCCAGTTACTTAAAAATGTAATATTTTTCTGTCTTGCTAGATGCTCCTATTGCAAGCAAAGGTTAAATTTCTCTTAAAAAACATTTGAATCACTCCATTAGCCGAAAGTAAAAAGATTGTTTTGGGGGAGATGTTCTCAGTTTTTATATTATCTATAACTAAAACATTAAGAGTTAAAACTAAGAGATTATGTGTATGAGTTTTGCCTGCATGTATGTAAGTGTGCCACATGTGTAGTGTGTGTGGGTCCCCTGAAACTGGAGTTACAGGCCATTGTGAGCTGCCATGTGGTTGCTGGGAACCAAGCCCTGGTCCTCTGCAAAAAGCAGCTAGTGTTCCTAACCACTGAGCTATATCTGCAGCCCCCTAGTGTGTGTGTGTGTGTGTGTATTTTTTTATTTTTTATTTTTTGTCTTTTTGAGATGGTCTCCCTGTAGCCCCAGCTGTCCTGGAACTCACTATGTAGATCAGGCTGGTCTTGAACTCAACAGAGATCCACCTGCCTCTGCCTCCCGAGTGCTGGGATTAAAGGCGTGTGCTACCACGCCCATCGTAAATATATTTTTAAAACTCTTTGAAAAATGTAAGAAATGAGTCAGGCATGTCAGTACACACATGAAATCCAAACCACAGAGGAGACTGAGGCAGGAATACCATTTGAGCCCATGGGTTTGAAACCATCCTGGGCAACATAGTGAGACCCTGCTCAGCAAAACAAAAACACAGGGGCCAGGCATGGTGGCTTCCATCTTTGATCCCAGCACTCAGGTGTCAGTGGCAAGCAGAGTTGGAGGCCCGCCAGGTCTACATAGTAAGTCTAAAACAGCCAAGGCTAGATGAAAAAACAACAAAAACACAGGAAAAGGTAAGAAATTCCAGAGAAGTTTAATTTAATAATTGAAGGGACTTTAGGATTTGTCAAGGTGAGTGGGAAGTTGGGACGACTCACCCATTGAAGGGAACTGGAAAGGGTTATCTCTCAGCTCTCACTCCTCAGCTCTTACACAACTGCTCATGAATCTAATGACTCCTTCAAGCTTCCTCTCCAGTTCTCACATGTTCAGTGAAATGCTCACCTGAATTTTGCATTTTTCTGCCATAACTTGTCACTTACTAAACCATGTGTTTCCCCTTAACATTCTGTTCTCATTGGCATAACTACTGTCTTGCTGTCTTTTACTTTGAGAAGTATCCCATGATTGAACCATAAATTTTGTTTTTGTCCTACCTCCTAACCTGTGTGTGAGGTTCAGCCTCTGATACAGCTAATGTTGAGTAAGCATCCTCGCACTGGCCTCCCTGGTGCTTTCACTGTATCATCTCATTCTCTCATCTGTGCTTATCTGAGTTTCACTATCTTTTTTTTTTTTTTTGGTCTTTTTGAGACAGTCTCCCTGTAGTCACAGCTGGATTCGCTATGGAGAGACCAGGCTGGACTTGTATTCACTGAGATCTGTCTGCCTCTGCCTCCCAAGTGCTGGGATGAAAGGCATGTGCTACCATGTCTGGCAAGTCTCACTATCTTTAGAGTAATTGTTCTGCTGCTGCTACTCAGTGTTGGTAGCCTTCATCCTGTTTTGGGTATTGCCTCAAGATTGCTGTCAGATTGTGAGCTCCTCTAGTGCAGGAACCCTATTTTATAGATACTGTGCTCTGTTTTCCTGGTGGCATGAAGCAGCATATATTAAATGCTCAGTGTGATCATGCATTGGACACAGTGGCATAGTAACTTAGGTTAGTGTTGTTGTTGGGCTGGACTTTAGCATATGAATCATTAAAGTGATTTGTATTTTCTTCTTGTTTAGTAAGTACATTCTCAGCCTTGCCACATTTGAATCCAAAAACTTCATCTCTCCATGGTTCCATTTAAGCAGCATGTGCCTTTTCCAGATTTTTTAATGTTAATCCTTGTTTATATATGCCCATAGATTCTTCCTATGTCCTCCTTCTTGGTGGGAGTATTGGCATTTGTCACTTTACCTAGGGAGTCATAGGCTTCTGAGAGAGCCTGGAATTTCTTGAGCCCTGTGTACTTTTCTTGATATTTGCATAAAGGCTTTCTTGCATAGTTACTTTGGTATTTGCTTTCATGTTTTACCAAGTCGAGCTAACACCCCAAAACCTGGTGTGGGATGCTGTTTGAGCATCTGAGGGCACCATTCTTATGACAGTGTTTAGCACTATAAAGCTACAGAGATGATTCTGCTGATTCTAGCTGGTTGAATATATTATCTGCCTTCCTTAAGATACTCTTTGAGTCAGGATGTCCTGTCCAGGCTGTTTTCCATCTGTACCTTCATCATTGTTCTGTTCATCTTTGTGTACAGTCCCTGTCACAGTACTGTGCTTATTTTAAATTTATTTATACACTGCCTTGTTCCATAAAGATAATCTAGTACTATATGCTAATACATAAATACAAAATAGTAATTGAACAATTTAAGGTTGAAATAGTTGTTGGAAGAGAAAAGGATAAAATTAGACATGAAATTAGTTGCCTTTTATAAAACATCTGTCTACTGGAAGAAATCTGTATCTTTGACTCTCACTATTTCACAAAAATTCCCCAGTATAGTTGGGCAACCTCTGCAGAAAGCTACCTTATCAGCTGCATGTGGTGGCCCATTCCTGTAATCCTAACACAGGGAAAAGTAGAAGCAACAACATCATTTCAAAGTCCAGCCTTACTTACATAGCGAATTCAAGGCCAACTTGGGCTACATGAGACCCTGTCTCAAAAAACAATAGGAGTCTGGAAAAACGGCTCAGTGATTAAGAGCACTTGCTCTTGCAGAAAATCCAGGAGCAGTCCCACATGGCTCAAAACCATCTGTAATCCCATCAGGGAACCCTATATCCTTTTCTGGTCTCCTTGGGCACTAGGCATACATATGATGCATATACATAAGTGCAAGCAAAACACTCATACACATAAAATAAAAATAATCTTTAAAATAAATCTCCACCTATCTTATCAGCCAGGAATTTTCACCTTTGCTTACAGTGGTATTCTGTAATCTAAAAACTCAGTATTCTGTAATCTAAAAACTCACGTCCTCTTTTAGGAACCATAAAAATCCAGTATTTTCTCTATTCTGATAAATACCTCTAGTCTCTATTTTTAAAAATTTTAATTTTTTTGTTTGTTTTTGGTCTTTTTGAAACAGGGTCTCCCTGTAGCCCCAGTTGTCCTGGTCTTGAACTCACTGAGATCCGCCTGTCTCTGCCTCCCAAGTGCTGGGATTAAAGGCATGCGCCACCATGCCTGGCCTAAAGATTTAATTTTTTATGTGTATTTGCCTGCATGTATTCATGTGTGCCATGCATGTGCTTGGTGCCCATGGAGGCCAGAAGAGGGTGTTAGATCCTCTGGAACTGTAGTTAAGGACTGTTGTAAGCCACCGCCATGTGGGTGCTGGAAACAGAACGCAGGTCCTCTGCAAGAGCAGCAATTGCTCTTACTCACTGAGCTGTCTCTCCAGACCCCTGCCTCTAGTCTTTTATTCTTATCAGCCAAGAATATTTTACATTGCCACCTTGGTTTTTCTTAAGTCTATTTTATAAAAACCATGCTCTTTTCTCATATACAGTTAAATCATGCTATTGAATATGACTTTCAAAGTCCATATCCTGTCTTGGGAGGTTCCAGATTGTGTCTACCCACTCTTAATTAAGAATCACTTTTCAGTACCATCTCTTTAATTGACCCACATATGTGGATTGGTAAGCCAGGTTCCAGCTTTAATTCAAGGAGCCTAGTTAGAAGAATTTATACTCAGGACTTAATGTCATACAAGTGAATAAATCAACATTAAGCTTTGATCAAAGTTCTCAGCCTGGCAACTTATTTAAGCCAAAAGTAGAATGCTGTAGAGTTCTTTTCTTAGAGCTGGTCAAGAATTGAGGTAAGTGTGCTGCCATTTTGGTTTATGAACCAGTGTGTCACAGACTTGTTGGCAGGACCATGCTCTCTGGTGTCTCCCTGCTAGCAAGTTAACTTTTTTCTTTTCTTTTTTTTTTTTGTCTTTTTGAGACAGGGTCTCCCTGAAGCCCCAGCTGGCCTGGATCTCACTTTGTAGACCAGGCTGGCCTCAAACTCACAGAGCTCTGCCTGCCTCTGCCGCCTAAGTGCTGGGATTAAAGGCATGTGCCATCATGCCTGGCTAAGTTAACATTTTTTGATAATGGGCTTGGACTTCAGCAGGCCTTGCTTTTCAACTAGGATTGTGCCAGATGCTCTGCTAAAAGTGCTTCACAGTTTATAACACTCTTACTCTCTCATTTAATAAGACTCAAAATAACCTCTATTCTACAAAATCAGGAGAAATTCAGGAGTTCACAGTGGGTCTTTGAGAGGTCTGCCATTTTTACCATGTCATCATGCTAGATGTCATAACTCTATCCTACTTATGTAAAATTGAATGGCACTTGTATTTGCAGTAAATCTGCAAAACCTTTAGAATTTTGACACTGAAGACTTTTTCCTCCTCAGGTTGCTGGATTCATCAAATATCTTAGAAATAGTGAGATTCTCTGCTAGATTTCCAAGCATTTAAAACTCTTTGGATGGCCAGTGCTGTGGCATGTATCCTAGCACTACAGAGTTGAGCAAGAAGATTGTGAGTTGAAGGCCAGCCTTGGCTCCATATGATACTATCTCTGAAAACCAAACACATAAAATTTAAAAAGGTAACTCTTTAGGGTTGAAAGAGTTATCTTTCAGTTGTCTAAATGTATCCTTAAATGCATGACTATTACATGTAAATAATTATGAATGTGGCCTGGGGCTTCTCACTTTCTTGGGATTTCCTAGCATCCCTGAGCACATAATACCATTCAGATGGGCAGTGGTTTCTTAGTTTTCTGAATTGTGAGCTGTGAACCAAGTCTGTTAGAAAAAGTTTGGGTTAAGTATAAGAAATCCTGTCTGAAACTGGGCTTTAGTCCCAACACTTGAGAAGCAGAGGCAGGTGGATTGTGGGTTCAAAGCCAGCTGGGGGCTACAGGGAGACCCTGTCTCAAAAAGACCAAAAAACAAAGCCGGGAGTGGTGGTGGTGGTACATGCTTTTAAACCCAGCACTCAGGAGGCAAAGGCAGGTGGATCTCTATGAGTTCAAGGCCAGCCTGGTCTACAGAGTGAGTTCCCAGACAGCTGGGGCTACAGGAAGACTGTCTCAAAAAGACCCCCAAAAAGAAAAAGAAAACCTGTCTGAATAGAACTCAAGGCCCTGGGGTCACCCACAGGAGAGAAGTGAACTTGAAATGCAGTGACAACTCCCTGAGAACTCTAACTGGCTATTGAAATGATGGCATGAAAAAACAGGAGTGAATGTGTTTTATTAAGGAGAGCTGTATGTGCTCCACAGTATTCCCAAAGTATCACAACAAACCTGAAACCTGACTTCAGTTACTTGCCTGGGCAAGTGACTCAACTTCTGAGATTGTTTCCACCAATAAAATAGGAGAAACACTTACCAGATTAGTTCCTTCAAGCGTTTAAGTGAGGCAGCACTCAATAAATACCAGTTCCCTTCAAAGTCTATATCCATGGACCAGAGAGATAGGCTGAGATTGTGATGGATGCAGGGGGGGAGGAGGTCACAGAGGAACTGATTATTATGGGAAGGTGATAAGAGCTATATCTGAACACCATGGCTAAGCTGTGACAAGAAAGCAGAGAGGTGTAAATGTCAGGGTAGGGGGTGAGAAGCAAGGAGATTGGGGGAACAAAGCCAGGGCCAGAAATGGACTATCCCTGTCCTGTGTACCACACTTGAGAAACTGGGCATGACAACCTCAAAAAGCTTCCCTGGGGCTGGAGCAAACATTAGGACCTGAGTTCAGATTCCCCACACCCATGTGAAAAGCCGGGTTTGTTGACAAGTACCTATAATCTCAGCACTGGGGAGATGGAGACAGGAAAATCCCTGAGGGTTTGCTGGCCAGCTGCCTTAACAATCAGTGAGCCCCAGATTCAGAGAGAGACCCTCTCTCAAAAAATAAAGTGGGGGCTGGGGAGAGGGCTCAGTGGGTAAAAATATTTGCTGCATAAACCTGATAACCTGAGTTCAGATTCATGAAACACATAAAACGTAGATGTGGTAGTATACACTTGTAATCCCAATGTTCCTATGGTGAGATGGGAGGCAGAGACAGGACTCAAGCCCAGAAGCTCATGGGTCAACTAGTCTGGAATACGTGGCTAAGTGACAGAAACAAGAGAGACCTTGCCTCAAACAAGGTGAAAGGTAGGAACTGACTCCTGAAAAGTTGTCCTCTGATCTTCACATGTGTGCTGTAGCCACACTCAAACACACTATTCACACAAAAATACATCTGTACACACATTAAGTGGAGAACACTTGAAGACACCTGTTGACCTCTGTCATACACATGCACACACATACATCACCGTACCAAAGGGCTGGTAAGCCTTGCTCAGCTAGCTAGCCATATGCATGTGCAATGATAGCAGGTTAAGCATGGTGACCCACAATTGCAATCCCAGCACTTGGAAGGCCGAGGCAGTAGGATCACTGCAATTTCAAGACATTCTGGTCTGTATATCAAGTTGTAGGCTAGCCAGGGCGACATAGAGAGACTTTGTCTCAAACAAAACTGAGTAATCATAGTAGGTGCAAGTATTGGGCCAGGCATGTAGATTCTGTTACAGCCACACTAGAGTTCCAGGGAGGGATCCAAGGCTTGCTATGCACCCCACTCCACCAGTAACCTCTTGATCAGTTCAGTGTCCTTCCCACACTGCTCCATTGTTGGTATGCAGTGAACAATTAAGCAAAAGTAAATACTGGAACACAGTATCTGCCCTTGATCATTAAGCTATGTCACCGATGCAGAAGTTGTTCCCAGTACCAGTCAGGACAGCTTCTTAGGAAGAGAACAGGGTGCTGGTCCTTAAAAAATAGTTGTACTGAAAAAAATATCAAACTATTAAATGCAAGGCAATGTGGTTATTTCCAGCACGCCTTTTTACTCCGTAGACTCGCCTCTTGCCCAGCTGATAGGCCAGTCCGTCTGCATGCACCACTACTAGAAGGCGGCTCCACAGTCACCCCCATTCCGCCCTCACAATTAACACAGTACCGACCGCATCCCGGTTACCCAGTGTGTGCTGTTCGTGAGAGGGCGGAGGGATGTGAGCAACGGTCAGTTGCCCCTAGTGAGAGGAGGATGGGATTCATTTACAAAGCTCCTCCACTGCGGGACGATGCAAAACACCCGGGTTACCAGGAGCAGAGATTCTTGCTCCCCTTTAACTTAAAGGAGTTCATACGGTTGGATTGTTGGCCGAAAGCTGGCGGCAGTAGTGAACTACCTTTGCCGTGGAACCGTGCCACAAGCCAGGTCCCAGTCGGACTGTGGTGGGCTTCGAGGGAGCCTGGGGGCGGAGCCTGCGGAGGGAGGGGCTCCGGGGCGGGACAAGTTCTGCCCCTCCCGCAGGCTCCGCCTTCCGGCGCGGGTTTAAAAGGTAGGAAGGCAGACACCGCCAACTAGCAGTCCTGAAACATCGAGGCGAAACCCTCCTGGCAGAGCCATGATCCGTCGAGCAGGGGCTTCTCGGCTGCTCGCCGGCTTTCTACTCTTCGCGTTGTTTGCAGCTGGCGTCGCCCCCTTCAGCTGGGATCTCCCGGAGTCCCGGAGCCGAACCAGCAAGATCCGAGTGCACCCTCGGGGCAACCTCTGGGCCACAGGTAAGTCTTAGGGAACCCCATAAGCGCCCCTCACTCTCCTTGGTCCCAGTTTCCTTTTCAACTCTCTTACTGCTACTGGTGACTAAGCACGTGCAGACCCTGGGGCTCATAACATTTAACAGATGGGCTCTTGACACCCCAGCATAGCTGACTTGGCTAAGATTAATTCACCAAGTTTAAGTTGGGCCTGCATCCTGGATCTGACTGCCAGTCCATCCTCCTTCCCTTAGGCAGTCTGCTGAATCTTCTCACCCTGGTACATCTCTGCCTTCTCCAACTCCTTCCCAGAGCTCCTCCCTCGTTGGTCCCAGGCTCTCTTACCCTTCTTCCAGCTGGTCAGGAAAAACTGAGGTAGTCAGCTTTGCTTCCACCCGGATACATCTTTGTAGCTCCTTGGTGTGGAGGAAGATGGTTTCTTGCTTACCTTCTCTGAGAACTGAAGGGTAGAAGAGACCAGAACTTTCCTATCGGGATAGAATCCTCACTCCCTGACTTCCATGTGTCTTAACACCTCCTTTCTAGGTCACTTCATGGGCAAAAAGAGCCTGGAGTCCCCCAGCATGTCCCTGCTGGGGACAGCACCCCCCAACTCCCAGAGGGACCAGAGACTGCAGCTGAGTCATGATCTTCTCAGGATCCTCCTGCTAAAGAAAGCTCTAGGCATGAGCCTCAGTGGCCCAGCACCCCACACCCAGGTGAGCCCTTACCCCAGTACTAGCATGGAGGGATTGCCACCCAGCATTGGGCTTAGGGTGAGACTGCCTAGCCAGGGCATAATGGGTGTGTATCTCAGAAAACCAGGGTTCCAGGTTTACCCTATGTCCCAGGGCTCAAAAGGGGAGTATCCTAAAAGAAAGGAAAATGACCCAGCAGACTGCATGGGAAGGAAGTTCCTCCTCACCCACCCCAGTCTAAAGTTACAAACTGGGATTATCCTGCCCTTAAATAGACCTTTCTCCTCCAGTCGACGAAGCCTTGTCCCACTCCAGTTGTCTTCCACTGCATTAGTCAAGCCCACTTTGCTGTGCCTTGTCTATGCTTGGGGCCAGAGCCTGGGACTCCAAGGCCCAGAGATGGGAAAGGAATTAAGACAGAACTAAGAACCAGCTCTCTCTCTCTGTTCTCCCCTTCATCTGCCAATGGCCAGCTTTATCAAATTTCAGTGCTCTTGACATTCTAGGTTCGGTGATTCTTTGTTGTGGGGCTGTCCTCTGCATTATAGGATGTTTAATACATCCTTGATCTCTACCCATCAGATTCCTCTCTTGGCAAGTTGTAATAACCAAAATTGCCTCCAAGCTAAGCATGGTACGCTTTCCTACAGGCCCAGATACTCAGGAGGCTGAGGAGGGGGCATGGCTTGAGACCAGGAGTTTGAAGCCAGCCTGGGCAAGACAATAAGACTGTCTTTAAAAAAAATTAAAAAAGAAAAGAAGGGGCTAGAGAGATGGCTCAGCAGTTAGGAATACTGGCTGTTCTTGCAGAAGACCTGGGTTTGAATCCCAGCACCCACATGGCAGCTAACAACTGTCTGTAACTCCAGTTCCAGGGGATCTGACTGCCTCTTCTGTCCTCCGTGGGCATTGCATGACATGGGTGCACTTACCTACATGCAGGCAATACACTCATACACATAGAATAAAAACAATAAAAATTAAAAAAAAAAAAAAAAGAAGAAGAAGAAGCCACCTCCACAGTAGATGTCCTCTGGTGGGTGGTGGGCTCAAATAACTTGGTTGTAAAGCACTGACTTGTAGAGTTCAAGGCCCTAAAGCTGAAGCCAAACCAGCCTTAGTGTCCTACCTGGTTGGGTGGCTGCTCCTTCATTCTCTGCTCCAAGTGCTGTCCCCTCTGTACACCACCCTTTCTGATACTTACTGCTGTGTGCAGAAAGCAATATGAGGGACAATATATACTGGGGTCATACCTAGCTACTTAGCTGGGTGACTAGTGAATTACTCTAAGCCTCATGTTCTTCATCCATCCAACTCCCCTTAGATGAGACCATTTATATCACATGCTCAAAAGCCTTCAGTAAACAGAAGCTCTTCCCAACCAGTCTAAGTCCGTGGCAGTACCTACTGCTGATTCACCTTTGTATCCCCACCATGCCTAGCAGAGTGTGTACATGCTGAAGGAAGAGTGGGTCATTCCCTAGAGAAGGTCTACTTCTAGCAAACATCCCAGGGACCTCAGGTGCAAGAGCAGAAAGCTTGGGCTGGCTGAATATAAACAGAGATAGTATTACCTTTAGGGCCCTGATTTTGAAGGCCCGAAATACACAGATCAACCAGAGAATCTCAGAGGAAGAAGTACTGCTATGGCCATGAGCATCAGAATGAGGTCTGGAGCAGAGTTTGGGGTGAGGAATATCACACTTGATTAATGCCTTGGACTTGATTTCTGTGATGTCATTTAGTTGTTATGAATACTCTTTGAAACTGGAACTGTATTTTGAGGAAACTACTGCCTCTGACTCCTCTCTAGCCTTTTAGGGAGAAAGGTGCTCAGGGGCTCAGCTGAGAGCCTGCTCCTGGCCACCTCTGCGGATGCCAGGCACTTGGGTATGGCAGCCTGTCTCTATCATTTGTCTCCTCTGGGTCAATTCTTCTCTGTTTGCTTTCAGTACAGGCGGCTGCTGGATCAAACATCGCAGAAGTGATGCCAATGAGGGGACTGACAAGACTTCACTTAGATTGTGTCCATCCTGGAAAGTTGCTGAAAGGACCCTGGCAGTGGCCCCATCTGGATGTAAATCCTAAGTGAAGATGTGTTCTACCATTACTGCCATTTCTGGTTGGGTCACCTGGAATATTGCAAATGCAGACACAAATTCTTTCCTTCTGTATTTCTTGCTTCCCCAAAGAAGTTGTGAATAAAAGTCTTGCTCTTTACATAGATTGCCTGGTTCACTTCTTCCAGCTAGTTGAGGGAAGAGAAAGAGCTCTAGAGGGTGGGATGTTCAGTGAGATGGGGTGGGCTCTGAAAAGCGAGGATCACCCCTCCCATGGCAAATGATTCTGGACTGTCCACTCAGAAAGCAGGTATTGACTGAGTGGACTGCATGCCTGTTCCATTGCTAGCCATGGTTCTGCTCTCCTCTGCCACCTACAGACGCTGGGCAGCAGCTCCTCTATTTCTTCCTCTGTAATAGGGGCTTTCTATGTTACCCTGATACTGTGCTCTACAACCCAGCTTTCCCGATCTATCCTTCCATCATCCTCATGCCAAGCTTTAGGGAAGTGCCTGGTGCATACAGGAGAGAACTACGCTGGAATCCAGCCCTGCTATGTTCTCACTCTTTTCTAGATGTAGGGATGTACGGGTTGCCAGAGTTAGTAAATGAGAATAAAAGACCACCAGTTAAACTGGAGTATCTATCAAATGACATATTTTTTGGTTACAGAGTCTCATGTAACCTAGGCTGGCCTTGAATTCGCTATCTAGTCAAATATGGCCTCAAACTAATGATCCTTCTGCCTCCCTCTCCTGAGTTCTGGATGTATAGGCGTGTACCACTACGTCCATTTTTTTAATGTGGTGCTAGGAATCTGACCTAGGGCTTTCTGCATGCTAGGCAAGCACTCTACATTTCCAACACAACAATATTCCTTTCATTTAAAAAACAAAACATCCCAGCACTCGGGAGGCAGAGGCAGGCGGATCTCTGTGAGTTCGAGGCCAGCCTGGTCTCTATAGTGAATCCAGGACAGCTGGGGCTACAGGGATACCCTGTCTCAAAAAGACCCCCCCCAAAAAATAATAAAACACAGAAAAAGCATTTGCCAAGCATGTAGGAGCCCTACCACTTTGGACAAGTCACTCTTTGAATCTTTTTTTTTTTTTCAGTTGCAAATGATAACCCCCCCCTAAATCTCCGGGCATAGTGGACCCAGCACTTGGGAAGCTGAGGCAGGTGGAGTCCGGTGAGATCGAGGTGTACATAGCGAGTTCCAGGCCAGCTGGGGCTGCAAGTAGGCCCTGGCTCAAGAAACAAAACAAAAATCCTAAATCTTGCATCGACATACTCATGCAAACTTTTCAATTCATTGTTTACCTGAAATTCCAATTTAGACAGGTGATTGTGTAGTATAGCTAGCTTTGGGGCACTGCCCTCTCTGGCTGCGAATATCTGATCCTAAAACGGGCGTGTTCAGTGCCTCCACCCCTGCTTGGAGCTGACTTCGGGGAATCTCTGATTTTACGTGGGTTTTACCCCTACTGCCGGCCGAACTCGGACTCAGATGGTGTACGGCTCTAGAGGACACCGATAGGGTCCGCCCCTAGCGAGAGGCCACGCCCACTCCCCGCGAGAGCGCGCGGGAGCTAGAGAAGACAGCGGGCGGAAGTGGAGTGCTGGAAGCGACGTTGCCATGGAGCTCGCGGAGGACTGGCTAGTGGAGTCTTTGCGCTTGTAAATCGTGTGGGGCGGGAGACGGAGACCGGCTCGGGCCGGCCTGGTGGGCGCCGACGGGGGCGCGGGCTGCAGGTCCTGCCGGGCGGGTGTGAACTCGCGGATGGTAGCCGGGAAGGGGCCTGGGTGGAGGGTACTGAGCCCCGGCCTGTCACTCTGGGAGAACTCCTGTCCTTGTGTGGAAGTAGAGTGACCAGAGTCGCTTTGCGAAGTGTAGTAATAACCCAAGTGACTGGTTCTATTGCTCCAGCCTCTGGATTACACCTCAAAACCAATTTTCTTATGGAATCTAAGCATCAGCTTTGGGAAATCAACTTTGCAACCCTGGGAGTTGCCACAAATGAGATCTAAGAGCCAGGGCCTTGTAACAGGTCTGGTCCCATACACACAGAGTATAATGCAGAAAAAAGAGCCCCGTGTCACTCCAACTCCAGAGCCTGGATCCACTAGCCACTGAACGGTGCTGCCATCTCAGAGTTGTCAGTCAGCTAGCTGTACAATATCTTGTACCATGTGATTTTGTACCCCTGTCCTGCAGGTACCAAGATTTCCATGCATTTGACCTGTCGGGAGCCACTCGGGTCCTTGAGTGGATTGATCATAAAGGTAATATGCCTCGTCTGGCTATAGAGGAGATGGACTTACATTCCTCAGTTTGGGTTTCAGGATCTCATCCTTAGAGACCCATCTCTTGTGGAAGCCTGGGAAACCTCTTGTCATTTGTTGCAGTTTAAGCCTCTCAGTCATCCTGTCATTCCTCTTAGGAAGACCTTTCCATTCCTAACACAGGGCTGCCCGATGATGGGGAAGAAATTTATTCTGATTTGGAGGGATTTATAGATCCAGCTATGGTCCACAATCTTTCTAACAATTTGTCATAGCCATATTTTTATTCCAGGAGTCTTTGTTGCTGGCTATGAAAGCCTGAAAAAAAATGAGATTCTTCATCTGATACTACCTCTCAGACTCTCTGTAACGGAAAACCAGGTAACTTGAAATATAGATGTTGACTATATATGTCGACTTTTACTTCTTATTAGACATTTTTTTGGCGCTTCTATTACCTACGAGGTATTGTCCTGGATACTAGAAAGATAAAGACAAGCAGTCTAACAGGGAGGTGCTTATGCATAGAGATAAATGCTGAGGAATGTCAAATGGTTCACAAGAGAGCTACTACAGGAAAAGGGCAATATATATCAAAAACACATTTGGGGGCCTGGGAATGTAGCACCCACACAGCATGAGCAAGGTCCTCTTTTAAATCCCCACCCTTTTAAATCCCCACCACCATCACACACACACACACACACACACACACACACAGTAGATAGATTTAGGGAGCCATTAGAATGGTTAAGACCAGCCAGGCATGGTGGTGTACACCTTTAATCCAGACCTTGAGAGACAGAGGAAGGTAGATCTCTGTGAGGCCAGCGTGGTCTATATAGTGGGCAAGTTTTAGGCTAGCAGGAGCTGCAGGGAGACCCTGTTTCAAATTTTAAAAAAAGAATGGTTAAGATCATGTAAGATTGCCGAACATGGTGGCGTATGCCTTTAATCCCAGCACTTGGGAGGCAGAGGCAGGTGGATCTTTGTAAGTTCGAGGCCAGCCTGGTCTACATAGTGAGTTCCAGGACAGCTGGATCTTTGTGAGTTCGAGGCCAGCCTGGTCTACATAGTGAGTTCC